ACTATGAAACAGATATGTATAAATGTCTATTATTATTAAAATAATTAATATTATTAAAATACCGATACAGTTGGAAGCAAAGCATTCTATTTCGTTATTTTAAATGCTAACTTTAGTTCGATCTCGTTCTTGCTCTTACCTTAAATCTTGAATAAATTAATATCCTAATGCCGCTGTGCACGAAGATGAACCAAAATGGAGACGCTGTTCATATTTTATTGAAAGAATAAAAAGATGTGGAATGAGTTTTCATAAAACAACAGCAACCACCACCACCACCAAAAAAATAAACTGGTTTGATGGCTGCTTATTCTCAGAATCCTACTTTTAAATCTTCAAGAACTTTTACAGTGAAGAATAGTTGGACTGAGCCGCCTGCAATTGCTTTAGGAATCGACTTGAATATTACCTAGACAATCGTAATCTGTCTGGGTCATATAGCAAAAGTGCAGTGAGATTTGTTAGCTTTTGTTCAGTTTTATGACTTGCTAGTATATCTGAGTTGCAGCCGTCTTGGAGGAAGAAGTGGTTTCAGTTGAGCGAAGAGCTGTGCAGACTAAGGAAGCTGAGAATCCTATCTTTGAATGTAGAGAATTGGCATTGTTGTTATTATTATTATTACTATTATTTAATGAGTATGACTCTCGATTCATTTGGTAGAGTCTCTGAGTGTGAACTCCAAAGCAGAACCTAAAAGACTAAAAGGAAAGCAGTGTGAAAAGGTGAGCACTGAGAATTTGGATCTTAAACTTCACTCGCCTGTTACAGGTCTTCTGCCATGATCCACCTAGTTGCAGGATGTGACTAGGCAGAAATGTCATCTTAGGGTTCTATATTAATGCTTATTTATCAACTCTAAAATCCAGACAATGGAATCAATGGAGTGGGGAGGAAAGAGAGAGAGAGATAAGGAAGGAGGGTGGGGTTGGGTGGGGTGAGGTTGATGGGAATTTGAATAGTTGCCTCCAGCCAACAACAACAACAACAACAACAACAACAATTCTTCTTCTTCTTCTTCTTCTTCTTCTTCTTCTTCTTCT